CTTTCTGTATCCTTATTTAAAGATAAATAATAAATATATTAGTTTTTGTACAGACTGTTGAGTAACATACAAAAACACATTCTTGTTCAAGTAATTTAAATTTGAAATGTATTGAACGTTCAGCTTATTTTGGTGCAAAAATATATTTTATAATGATTCAGACTACAGCTATATTTTGCAAATTTTTGTAGACTAACCCTGTCTGAAATTTTCACTTACTGTTATACGTCGAGCACATTGAATGTTACATCTCATTAATTAATTAATTCATCGTTAAACATTAATTTACATATAATTAATCATCGTACTTGTATAAACGTCACACACCCTTATTCATAATGCTATCGTAACTACTCATGAGGTTACAAGCCATATACAAACTCTATATCAACATTAGTATCTGTACGTCAGCGATAAGGGAAACTGGTGTCAGTCTCAATTTATTTTAAATAAAAATTTCTATTGACTGGAAGGTGAGTTAGCGTTTAAATGTAAAATAAAATTGTACAGTTCAACTAAACGATAGAAGGAATAATAAAGTAAGTGTAAACAAAACCATAACGAAATAAAAATAGAATTTGCTATCTCACACTCCTTCCACTTTGAAAAGCCACGTTGATATTATTAATAAATCAAAATTTCCAATTTTTGTATTTTTTTACACTGACATCATAAATCCTTTAGTGTTTCAGTACAGATACTTTACAAGGAAAAATCTTTCATGTTCTTGAATATTCAAATTGATCTTCTCTAGCTTCGTATTCTGGTTCACCTTTCAAGAACTTTGAGTTCGAAGACCAACTACGTTGAGCAGAAGACACGGAAGTTATCAACTGGATACAAAGGATGAGAGGTGGAGACACAAGAACAAAGTCTTCTGGGTTGTGGAAAAATATCTAATCTTTCTGTTCGCATTCATTTTCTCCAGCTGCCTAGAATGATCAGCATTTATTCAGGTATCGAAATTAATGTCCAATGGAGAAAGTGTACATATTTAGTTTAGACATGTAAAACCATATTTTGATTACCATAAGGTAATCTTTTTAATTTATATGAAAACTTCTAAAGAAGTAGTAATTTCTAAAGTTTTACGTATTAGAATAAGTTTGAGTGAAGGTATTTAATGCAGAAAGTTATATATTATTCTTAATAATAGGAGTAGTAAGGTAACTATTTTTAATTGTGACAAGAGAGACTTACTTTTCAATGTTGGATATTGCTCTCTGTAAAACATCTCTAAATGGTTCTGTTCTTTCATCAACGGTTGGGTATTTTGTTAGTTGTTTTCAAGTCCTTCTTTGATCCCTTAAACTATCAAACAGTTTACATTGTTTCCTACTAACACAAGAGTATACCATCAATATCGGGATTAATATTTCTATACACAAAACATTTTTTTTTCTTCTGTACGTTTTTCTAAAAACTATGTATAAAACTTAAAATATCGAAAAACAACACTTTTCCACCATCTTTGGTGCGCCAAGTTAATGAAGCTCATGACAGTTTATTTGAAACATTTATTTGCAACATAAATAAAGTCACCGATAAGGAAAACTGATGTCAGTCTCATAACTCTTACAAACTTAAAAATGTTATAATTAAATAGA